TGCACAAATGATCGAAACCCAGCAAGGCAGCAACTATTTTTAATGCTATGTGGATGCAGCATCATTGAATTCAGTTCTGAAAATAATAATTTACGAACTCTATATAAAATGAGCTTTTTGTTTTGCTGAAAGTAATCGATTACACTACTACTGTAAGAATGATTCCTCGAGACGTGGATGACGCCGGGTGTGCGAAAGGTGTCGGCGCTTTCATTTTGTTGTCGTCGAACCCATTTGCGTTGGGAGGTGATGGGGTTGAAGAGAGAGTGAATTGATTTGGGGGGTGAAAGAATGTGTAAGAAACTGGAGTTCATGAGAGAAAGAGAGAGGAGTTCGACTTGGGGGAAAAATGGGAGAGAGGGATTTTCAATTTTTTGGGATTTTTAAATTTTTTAAACAAGTGCCACGTCACTGTATGCGCGACCGATTTGGTTATGATTCAGTTTCATTATAGGGTTAGTCTACATGTACATAATTTTATACATAATTTTTTACACCCCACTCACATTACTGAGATGGGGGCCATGAGCGGACATTTTTTACTACACTTGGGGGGCGTGCATTGTGGGGGGAGCATTCGGTAACCCCCTCGGTACAAGTGGAATAACCCTTCATTATAAGAGGAGTAGAGGACCCACTTGTACAGATAACGATCAAAACTACAACACATCTAAACCTTTACTTTTCTCTATTTCATTCGCTTCTCCCTATTGCGAGTTGTGACTAGATATTAAAAATGATCCTCCGAGGATCTCTCTAGGAATATACCCACTCAAAATATCAATGGATTTTTAATAATTAAAATTTCCACCCCCAACCTTTCATATTTATCTGTGTCGGTCCATTTCAATTGCTCATTTATTTTCAGTACCCACTATTATTCACCAGAAACCCGATTGGCTCGCCACCTCAATAATCAGATGCGGATTTTCCCTGCCTTAACTCACAGATTTGGGAAACTAAAACGGATATTATATGAATGTATCGCATTTTGATTTCCAAATCATCGTATATAATTTGCAAATATGCGTGATTACTAATTCGG